ACTGAAAATTTTCTTTTTATTATTTTCTTTATATATATTATAATTAAACATATTTACTAATCCCAAATAAAGCTTCCTGTTCCTGGTTTAGCGTGACTACATCATGCAGCTATCTAATTAATTAATATAAAACAGACTATATATAAAATGATTAGCAAAAATTCTCACATACAGTATGTATAGTACTGTATGCAACACATTACTAAATTAGAGACTGAACAGGGCGCAGTTCATAAATCACTACAAGAACCGTCTATATAGCTGTAGTTCCTATCAATTAAATTTAATTTGATATATATATCATTATACTTGATACAAATTTAATTCTGTTATTCAATATTATACATATAGGGCCATTCTAAACTACTTGAAACTGTGGTTTCTAAACCAGACCATGTCATCCTTGTTTAGGATTACAAAGAATTCAGTCCTTAAGGCCTGATTAACAACTTTAATAATGGTAATGTAAAATACCAGGTGTTTAATAAGTCCCTAAACAGGATCACTAAATAAATTACTATACTATATAAAAAAACCGCAATTAGTAATCATTATAATTTTTTATATAATAAAAACCAATACTAGCAGAGATATAAAGAAGGTCTGTTCAGAAACTTATTAAACACCTGGTAGAGTAATAAATGTATCAAATAGATGTAACAGTGTAAATTAAAAACTAGGTTTACTTATTAATTAGCATTTCAGATTTATATTAATGTGATCTAATATTTGTGCACTCTTGATTATTTATCTTAATGTTTATTATAGCCAATCAGTGTGTCACATTACCACATGATTTCATATTGATTATCATATGATAGAGATATACCTTTTGGCCTAAGTGCATGACCTAGGTATGCCCAGAGGTATGCCCAAAAGGCATATCTTATGCCCTGTGCCTCCAACCCTAGTTGGTAGCAGCATCTAGAGTTACTTCATTTTTTTATAAATTTCAAATACCATTCAAACACTTTATTTCATCTTTTTCAGCACTAATTCCATTCTCATAGCAGAGAACATCCAGATATGTTCTATTAGCATCAACTATATCTGCATTCTTTTGATAATAAACGAAGGCATTGTGGTTATCCCTTTCAATATTAATTCTATTTTGGTAGCAGGTTCTAACATTATTTCTGTTGTTAGATCGATCTGTATCAGCCGATTCCTGGAGGTTATCGAATGTCTTAGGTTCATTCAACTCCACTTCAATTCCATTGGTCAGTGTATTTGTTTTATCTTTTTTGACATTGATTTCATTTTGAGTGAAGAATACAAGGTTGGTTCTTTTATTAGCATGATCTACAATATCGAAATCTTGAGGACCACCAAATTCTTTGTGATCATCAAGACTATTTGGCTTATCAGCATTGTTCATATCTGCATCAAGTCCACTTTCAACTGATTTTTGATAATGTCTGATTGTTTTTTATTATCCTTTTTTGGTTCGATATCAGGTTGGAGTTTTTCTTCATGCAGTGAGTTTTTGTTATCAGGATTATCATGCTTCTTGTCGAAATCTTCCAATAGGGTAACTATAAACACATTAGCTTCTTCCACCTTCATTTTGACTTTGGACACTATATTGATAGGCTTCGCCTTATAACTATGTATATTTTCTCAGAGGTTATATATAAGCCTTCTATATCTATAAAGGTTATTTGTTCAACTTCTTTTTGTGGTTAAATAAGCGATTTAGTTGGTTTGGTTTTTAATAATAATTATAATTTGGGGTTAGGAAAGTTCAATTTCACAGTTATCACCAAATGTAAAAGGAAAAAAAGGATGCACTTAGTAAAATAATCCAACTATACACTACTAAAACTAATTAAAACTACTCTAACCAGAACACCACAACTAATACAACCAAACCCCCAGTAGTAGTAAAGCAACAATCGAGGCATGGAAAGACTTGGTCTGAGTTACCAAGATGAATTGGTCTTTTAGTAATAGTGTCGAATTAGAGCTCTGAATTACATCACAAATCTCTGTATACAGAATTACATGATTTGGTCACGAATTCAAATCATAACTTATAAATTTTACTTATCAGGGGAATTGTAGAACAAACGCTTCTACTTAAAGAACACTACTCACAAGTTAAATACTCTAATTTCTTTAACTTGGAACTTTGAACTCAACCGAGTTTTATACTATTGGGGTGAATTGTAAGTTAAATACTCTGATTTCTTTAACTTAGAGCTTTAAACTCAACTGAGTTATGTTTTATTTCTGGAGGGAACCTCCACTTATATAATAAATTTTACATATACAGGAATAACACAAATTTTGATTTTTCTAGCGTTTCTAATTTTTCTCATTATTCTGATTTTTCCAGCTATTTTAATTTTTTCAGCTTTTTTTTGAATTTCCCGAATTCTAGGAATTCCAGAAATTCCAGAAATTCATACAACTGATTACTGCAGTACCAACCTTTTTTGGGAAGGACGATCTTGCCGCTTACAACATACATAGTTTAAGAGCAACCATTTTAGATTTTAATAACAAAAAGAAAAATTTTAATGACACGAACAAGCTTTATCAAAATTTCTATTTTGGTGAAATCTAATAATTGTTTATGAATATAAATATCATAATACCCCAATCACTATATCAAGATCACGGGAGTATTAATTAATAATACCCTGACCGTATGTGAATAAGCAGAAACTCCGTTTCCGCTAATTCCCAACGGATCAGGACATTATTATTACTAATACCCTGACCGTATGTGAATAAGCAGAAACGAAATTCTACTAATTCCCAATAGATCAGGATGTTATTATTACAAATGTGAAATAATCCACAAGCATTTGGTAATTCCACAATCCTCCACTTGATCACTAATTTTGGTACACAGTAAAATGATGCACTTATGTTTGTGAAGTTGATATCTTATTTAAGCACAAAAAAGGCGAACCTCTGTATTATAAATTTTATCGTGTTGTATATAGTCTATTGCTTATATTCATTATTTTGACCTAAGCTGAGCTGAGCAAACTTAACTGTGTATTATCATAAATAATATCAAAACATTATAAAATACAAAATTCTATTATAGATTTACATTATGAGTTTCTTTTTTTATGATTTCTGTTTTTTTGTCAGTTATTTCAGAAATAACTCTGACATTTCATATCAAAAACCATTGCCGAAATAGTTTCTGTGACATGTATACTCCCAACTTACAAACTGTTACTTCTTGATTTTGTCAATCTACGCCCAAAATTGGAGGTCTAAGCATTATCCAATTACGTATTAATCTATATATTGTATAAATTATATTCTCAATATTTTTATAACTTACTAACCATAAATGTATCAAAAAAGTTTTTCCCTTGCTTTGCCACCCCTCAAATTGGTAAATGCTGACTTAATGAATCAAAATTAACCAACCCAGTTTTTCAACAGTGCATATTAACTATTAATTAATTAATATCGAAAAAAATAATTATCTAAAGTATCAATTTCTAAAATTTTATTCATCTATTTGCTGCTTTTGTTTATCATTTATTATACCGTAATAAACTTTAATTTTTGACAGATCGACAACGACACTTCAAACAATCTTTGCTCACTCGTAAATAGCCATTACTATAGTGCATGAAGCTCTGCTATCAACTCCTTTTCTCTATTATCCATTATTGCTACTACTAGTGTCACATTGTTTTCACCACTAAATCATCTTACTATCAAAATATTTCACTATCTGTAATTATACCTTATTCACGTGCTCATTTAACTTTGCACTATTTCAAAAATAAAATTATTAATTACCCGATCCTCAGTTTTTTGATAATATATATCTAAATTTCCGATTCTTTCCTTGTCAATCCATATCATAAGGATAATATTTACATAACCTTTGCTAAATCTAAAATGGTCTTGCCCAAATTAAGAAGTTCTTTAATGCCAGTTTCGTCCCATATTAATCTACATATTGCATAAATTGCGTTCTTGATATCTATACTTAAAAACCTACTAACTGAATCAAAAGGTAACCACATTCCTACTTAAACGAACCTGGCTTTTAACGTTCCCCCAAAATAGTTAGTCTATATTTATTCACCAATTATATTTATTAATAAAAGAAGTAGTGCACGTACATATGTACATACGTACATTGTAAAAAGGAAAATTGCATTTGACAAATCCCAGAAATTCTTGGAATCACGAAAATCCTTGTGATTTCCGTGATTCTAGAGGATATATTACTTACAGGTTAATTGGTTTGTATAACTATTGTAAGTATAAATAAATAAACTGCATCGGTATTTGACTCATTTTTTTAAAAAAAAAATCAAAGCCAGAAATGGAAAATAAAGGATTGACGGAAGAGCGATTAGTAAAGGATATTACTCATGTCACCAATGCTCTTAATCAACTGGATATCAATGATGTTACGAGTAGTGCAGCAAGCCGGCTTAGCCGGCCCAGCCGGTTCAGCCGTGGCTTAAATTACTGCAGCTCAGCCGTTGCTAAGCCGCGGCTGAGCTGCAGCAAGTATTTCACAAACAAGCGTTTTGCGAAGAATTTATGCTTAGGTGAATTATGCTGATTTCTAGAACTCCCCT